AGAGAACTTGAAAAGAAATCAAAATGATCTTGGCTTGTCTACCCTGGCAACTGAAGTCTGACATGAGAAGTGAAGGAGAAAATACCAGAAAGGGAAAAATAGCTATTAAGCAGGGTAAGGCTACCTACAAAGGAATAGGAACTGGGAACTCTGGAAGCTGGCTCTGGCTGTGAAAGGGATAGAAATGTGCAAGGGGTGAAGCAATAAAGGTAACACCTGCATGGTAACTGGAGGAAAGAAATGTCACTGTTGGTTGAGCAGACTATCCAGAGGCACAAGGACAAAGCAGCAAGATGAGGTGCTGTGTGGACTGCATGTACACACCCACAGCCTCATGCTGAAGCTATTTCATGGAGAATTTTGGCATTGGTCAGACAAATCTGGAGTGCTGTGCCCAGTTTGGGGCTCCCCAGTACAAGAGAGACATTGACAAACTGCAGAGAGTTTAGTGGAGGGAGACCAAGATGGTTGGGCTGGAGTATGTGATATATGAGAAGAGGATGACAAAACCGGGTTTGTTTAGCCTGGGAAGAGGTCTGAGGGGGGAACAAGTATTGTCTTCAACAATTATAGAGGGCCCAGAGCTGTATTTTTTCAGTATGCCCAGCAAAAGGATGAGAAGTTACAGTCACGAGGTGCAGGAAGGGAAATTCCAACTAGATATAAGAAAAAAAAATTCACAGCAAGAGGGGCTGGGCTCTGGAACAGGCTGCCCAAAAAGCACTGGAAAAGGCCCTGAGCAACCTCATCTAACCTTGAGACTGGTACTGCTGTAAGTAGGTAGTTGGATGGCTGAACCAGAGGACCTCCAGGGTAGACCTCCAGAGGTTCCTTCCAGCTTAAATTATTCTGTGATTCTATAATTCTGATTTCACAAAGAAAGAGGAGATGTTTGGCAATCAAGAACAAGAAAAGAGCAAAGCTTCCTGAATGCAGTGTAGCATTTCCTTATCCCAGATTTGGTGCCAAAACACCAATATACCTGAGTGTAGACCATCATTCCTGACCCAAAGGGCATGAAATTGGCTCTGCGCATACAAGCCTACACACAGCCTTGGACTTAGGAGTGTTGGAACTTGTGAAGAGCAAGGGAAATTAGAGCAGTCAAGAAGACAGGCAACAAATACTTGAAGAAAAAATTGAATTAAGAATTTTTTTAAAAGAGCTTTATCCTAAAGACTGTTCAGTGATAACAGTAGAGCTCTGAAATGAGGAGCCATACATACCTTCGTTTTTTGCTGATCTCTATGTCGGCAAAGAGCCCAATTTTGATGACTTGCCATAAAAGACCCAAAACCAGGTAAGGTTTCCCTTCTTTTAAGTCTTCAGCTCCAATGTTAACAACATGGCACCCAATGGCTGAAGCAGAGTTCAGGGCCAGGTTCAGATTTTCCTAGGGAAAGCAGAGAACTTCCAAATGATGCAGTAACTGGAGGGCTGAGGATACAGGAAGGGAGCTCAGCCAAAACTAGTGAAATCTGTGAGCAGCTTCGCTGTGAATGCATTTACGTACATGTCTGACCACAGGGAGCAGGGGAACACAGAATCTCCTGGGATTACAGGTAAGTTCTGGGACCCAAAACGAAGACGGAAAGGACCTCTTTGGCAAAGGTGAAAGACACCATGTCACAAGGCATTGGAGCTCAGAGCATATGTCTGCATTCGCAGTGATGTCTTGGCTCAAGCCTGGTTATCAAAGCCAGGCTCTCCCTATAGCTAATGCACAAGAACATGTTCAAGTGCAGACTTAGCTTCAGCATGCGGCAAGCTTTCCTCCGCTCAGTCTTGCACACATGGAGGAACGAGGGAGCTACAACCCAGTCGACCGGCAGATATTCCAGGCTCGGCTCTCCCTAAGCACTATGCAAAAGCCCTAACACCTAAGATACAAATAAGTTGCTAGCTAGCAATGTATACAAAAAGCACATGGACATAGGAATTAGTATGAATAAACCCGTTGAGTTTTTAACCTTGCAGTTCAGCCAAGATCAGAACTGGTCAAGCCTGGATATTTTCTTTTTGAACTTTGGAGTATGGGTTCCTGGTTTGGGAATGTTCAGTGGAAGCAGAGGTATTCTGTGCTTCACAGTGAGGGGCAGAAAGAAAGTGATGTTTCAGGAACATTATGTTCCTTTGCCAATTCATTCTCATTTAAAACAAAGGGTGTAAGAAAATCTGACCCACAGGTCTGCGCTATTCAAAAAGGTGAGTTGGTAAACAGAGGGCAAGTAAAGCAGGCAAAGAAGCCTGGAAAATATAATTTATCACACAGATTTGCAATTTTTCACATGAATTTCATCACTGCTGGAATGACAGAGAGATGTGATTAGATACAAAATGCAGAGAGAGACGTAGTGTAAATTCTCACAAGCTAGAAAAATTGGAGCATTTCAAATTAATTACCTTTTCTCCACCAGACAGATATAAAAGGGTTAAGTTAAAGTGGAAGCTATATTGATCAAATCATGTCTACGTGTGACAGGGATTGATCTGAGCTGCATCACTAAGCTATGCTGCTGACCAAACCAATTAGAACTGAAAAATGTGGTATACAGCATAAAAATCCAATTTAATGGCTTCTGAGCTTACTTGAGCCTGGCTAATGTTCCATCAAATCAGAGTACCTGAGGGCTAAACTGGGTTAGGTTCATATCTATTCCATATATCTATTTATATTCTGTACCCAGATACATAGATGCTGTTCATATAAAAATATGTCTCTACATACTGCTGTGTGAGAAACACAATAAATTTTAAATAGGTGAAAATTAGCTTTTTCGTCCAATTTTTAAATCACATACATGTACATGTAATAGAAATAAAAAGGGATTCTGTATTCAAGGTGAAATAGCATGGATTGTAAAAGGTAGGCAAATGCTATGGTCCCATCTCAGGCCTGTTGCACACCACAGTACTTCCTGGATCACAGTTAATATTTCAGTGAAGACATCAGACTGCAACACTGCAGTTGTTAATTCAAGTCCGTGGCCATGCCTGTGTGACCTTGGATGTGGGGTTCAGCCTTCTGAGAGCTACTCCAGCTGGAATTGGTCACCAATATTATCTAGTGGCTTTTGCATTCGTATAGCATCTACCACAAAGGTATCTAAAGCTTTGAACTGGTAAACATTATACATTGGGTTAAGTGCAAATACAAACACAGTTTGTTTAGTCAGATTGCTCATATTTTTGGAAAGAAACAGAAATATAAGTCTTTATGTTTTTATGACCTGGACCTGAGCATCTCATTTTGCCACAAACAACTTGGTGTTGGGCAGGACCATGGTATCTCCAGCCTTTGCTCTAAGTGATTATATCAAAGCATACTAGGGGGAAAAGGAAAGAATCATGTTACATTTTAGTACCTGTATTGTGAAGGGCGTGAGTTTCTTTTTGTTGATTGTTCTCTCATCAATGGTATCTGGCACTGAAAAGTTGATCATCTTACTGCAAATAAAAGAAAAAACAACAAGAAATACACTATTAGATATATGCACACAAAATATGATATAGCTTTTGTCACTACACTGTAGGACAAGTCAAAGAGCTGGAGCGTTACTGAACAAATATAGATAGCCTCTCTTTTTACATGTACACACACAGGCACGCATGCAATACTCGAGCAATTCTTTTGGGTCACATGCAGATTGTACTAGGTGTGAAGCCAAGAATGCCACAAGGTGAAGTTGTGTGAGAAGTTTATTGTGCAGAAAATTTCTGTGAAAGCACTCACTATCTCATGCTGCTTTGTGTGAATCCCCAAAAGTCCTTGGACAAAAAACCCAAGTAACTCCTCAAGTTTCACTGACTTCATCTTATTGCAAGGGTCCGGAGGCAAAGAAAAACTCTCATTTAACATGAAAGAAGCTTTATATTTTTAAAGAGAAAAGAAGCAAAGAACCTAGCATTATTCAGGCCCTGAATCTGCAAAGATTCATGAGCTTAATGTAAAGTCAGCAGCTTCCATTTAACCAGAGGTGTGAGCTTCTGCAGACTCATGGTTCCCATTTGTGAGAAAGATAGGTATTATTTACCAAAGCACTATGCCATCGCCGACCGCCTGGAAGAGGTCATCTGTTTCTGGATTCATTGGGACCACGTGTTTACAGTCAGGGTCCTTCTCAAGGGCTTTATTAATCCAGTTGACAAAGGCATACTTTTCTTCCTCTGTGGACACAACATCAAATCCATCAGTTTGCTGTGCAATACTTCTACCATCATTTTCCTTACAAAGACAGAACTCCTGGGGGAGAAGATTCTCCCATCAGTGTGACTGATCAATGAACCCCTACAAGGGAAGAAGGCTCTGAGGAGACAAGCAAATGAGCTGAAGACAGCAATGGGCTTGAATTGGTTAATACTCCTTCCATACGCCTTCCCACTGATTGGGTTGCCCGGTGTCATGAGGGTGGGAATATTATAGAGACTGGTAATGAAGTTCACGTGATGCAACTGTATGTTGCAGTTGCTATGCTCTGCTAAGCACCATAATTTGAATGCATCGTTGTATCACTCTGCTAAATCGAAATCCCACGTAACTTCAAATAAGTTCAAATAGGTGAATTCTGTATTGTATTACACCCTGTACACATGTGGAATATCTAGAAGAGCCTGGCCAGGGTATATTGCACTTTGACAAGGAGCAGAAGGTAATGGGCAAATGTTCCCTGTAGTCCAACAGGGCTGTAACGTAGCTATCCTGTACCAGCAGCAGCTCACACCACCCCCAGCAGCTCAGAGAAGGTGTCCTCTGTGCTTAGGTGGGTGAAGACCTTGGAAGCATCCTCTGCTCTCCCTTCCCTGGAGAGAGTTCCCCACTCCTGCCCCTGGGGAAGACAGCCAAGGGTGGGACCTCCTCCCTGTGGAACTGCTTCAGAGCGGGCTGTGCCCAGGAAGCAGCAGAAGCAACCATGGCTGCCCCAAACCTTCAGCTTGGAGAAACAGGCTGGGAGAAGAGCCCTGATGGGGTCATGACCTCTTTAGAAAAAGGTCAGGAACCATACGATTACGGGTAGGTTTACAGAGAGACTATCAGAGAACTGGCAAAATGTACAAGGAAATGGGTTAGCAACAGCGGGGAACCTGTGCCTTGCCTCGCTGGTAAGAAGGGACAGCAACGGGCCAGTCTTTGTGCTGCTGCAGCTGTGCCAGCAGAGCTGCAATGCCTTTAAGGTAAGGGAAGCTAAGCCAGCTGGAGCTTCCTTCCATAGGCACAGCTCTGTCCACCCCAGTAAACCAGCTCACACTATTTTTGACAAAGACCCTGCTCCGGTGCTTGGTCACCTTCACAACTCTTTGCCTTGCACCAGCCTCACCTGAACAGCCATCGCAGCTCACCAAGGCCAGAGCACTTGGGTTTGCACCAAGATAAGGGGCAGATGATCTCCAAGGGCACACTTGTTCCTAGTTGCTATCAGTATAGGACAGCTGTACCTACCTGAGTAAGAGTGTTGTGTGCCGGCACTGGACTGCTCGGACGTCCCACCGATAGCACAGATCCCCTCCTTTTTGTTGATTTGTTTTCGGAACGACTTAGCAACATCATCACTCTTCAGGTTTTGGAAAATCTTTCAAGCACAAGAGGCAATTTTAAAATTTCAGGGAATTAAACCAAGCTAAAACAGTGAGCTCTTGGGCCAGGAGAGACGTCCTCTCTGCTTCGTACATAGGGAAACACAGCTTGCATACTATTCAGTGGGTTTCTGTGTAAAATCTGTGTATCTGCTGTGGTAGAACAGGATCATACACAGCTTTTATGTTTTCAAAGCAGTGAACAAAGATCACCTAAGTAACAGAAACGTACATGGTATGAAACCACAGAGCTAAGATGTGCAGGAGGAGGGCCTTTAACAGTTTCAGTTTGAAGAAAGGATAAGTAAAATTCTGTTTCTCCATCCCAAGGGAAATTCCACTATTTTAGCATTTGCTTTTGTCCCAGTTCGGAACAGAAGAAGCAGCAGCTTTTTAATAGAAAAAATGCCCCGTAAAGTTTTCAGTTTCAATCTGCTGAAATTTTTTGTAACCATCTAGCTAGAACATAATATTTTTGCAACTTATAACTGAAAAACTTCACCCCGCTGCATCAACCAAACTGAAAGATATTAAGTCTGTTCAATACGCAGCTGCATTCATGTACCTTGTCCCAGTTAATTGCAGAATTTCTAGTTTGGTGACCTCCTGCTCTCATCTTTTCCAGTGAGGGGAGTCCTTGGATTAACTAGGTGCCCATGCGACCTTGTGCTTGTGCCTCTGCTGTGCCCTGGGGACCACCTTGAGTATCCCGCCTGGCATCTTACTTACTAAATAACTAACATCTTACTTACTGAAATAAATTCATCAAAACTGATCCTGCCATCCCCCGTGGTTGTCAAATTCTGAATTAGTTCTCTGGCTTTATATCCTGGGAGAGGGAGATTGGCTGCCCTCAACACGTCTGTTAAATCATTGGCGTGGATGAAGCCATTCCCGCTGATATCTGCAAAGATTAAAGCAAACATTTAGATTCTACATCAGCCTAATGAAATTTTATGCACACAAAGGCTGTTGTTTTTATTTTACCTCGGGAAATGTACATTATATATAAAGATTTGTTATCCTGAAATCAAATATTTTCAACCACTGCGGTGTCATTCACACCCAAGAAAAAATTACAATCACCATTCAACAAACAAAAACTCACAGTGATGAATTTAAATGTTTTAGACATATAGCAACATCTTAACAAAGCTACGTTTAGATGGATATAATTGACTTTCCAAGGTTTACATATAGACAAACATGTAAGTGATTTATAGAGGGAGTATCTTGTCTACAGAACAGCTAAAGAAAATGGAGTTGACGCAATACGGAGTTACACCTTACATGTGCATATATTCATAGATATAACTTGTGATTTCGGCCTGTTTTCTGCATCTAATATCATCAGAAGTCATGAGTTTAGAGGCTTGGAACTGTATATGGTCATGCTTAAAATAAATACTTGGGTGTTTCTCTGCGATGGTGCTAACACGGATAGTCCTGCTGAGCCTGTTACAAGATCCAAGGCCAGATTTTGTGAGAAGATCACCAATATAGGTTAAATAGTCCCTTCTTTTCTACCAGTTTGTGAAAATCTCCACAAATGAAAAAAGAAAATGAATCTATTGCGTGGAGAGTTTCTGTTAAAACACTATGGTTATGTACATAGTTATATATATATATATAGATATATGTTATATTTATATTTGGGTTTTTATATATCTGTGTGTTTCTTGTTCTGCAGGCTCTTTTTCCCCAGCCCAGAGGCCGAGGTGATTTCAAAGAAGCATGTGCCGATTTCCTGCGTGGTAAGTTGCAGCATGAGTCACTTTTGAGTCACAGCAAAAAGGCACTTGGCTCTCAGCATCAGTAGCACAGGGTAATACAGATTGCAAGAGCATCCTATCCGTTTTTGAAGTCATACAACAAAAGGATCTGGACTTGGAGTGGGAAATATCTGGCAGAGGAATGAGAGCTTTCTTCCAGCATTTGCCTTCTCAGTGCATCGGGTGCTCTGGGCACACACAGTGACCAGATGTTTAAGATTGCCAGCCTGGATGACGGTGTGCTCAGAAATCAAACAATCATCACCTGAGGCAGTAAGGACAACTGATTAACACATAATCCAGCAAGGCTGACAGATCTACTAATAAAAGTTAAGTGAGCTGTGAGAAACACAAGAATTTTTCTTAGAATTTGAGTAGACGGTGATGGATCTGCATGACTTTAAAGGAGACAAATCAGATGAGACCTTTAAAGGCTTGGAAAGGAAACACACACTTTAAAAATATATAGGGTTTGAAAGGTCATAGTAAAGGGATTACAAATCTTTTAGCCATTTCCACGTTTGTCCTCTCCAGACTCTTCCTCCCCAGAGGGAGTGCTCAGTTTACATTAAAATAATGCCTTCCAAATAATTTGCCTTCCAAATAATTTGCCTGGAATAAACAATATTCTTAGGAAAACACTTGAGAGTATTTCCGACATGGTTTTCCATACATTTTGAGGTTATTTCATAAACCCTGCTGCTCATTGCCCTGCCATCTCTTTCCGGTAAGAGGCCGTTGCTCTGCAGCGTGCTGATGTGGTTTCATCTACGAGGTCTGCAGCGGCAGGAAAAGGACTTTCTGTGGTTTCTGTGATACAGCAGATCAGCGCTGGAGTAAGCTCCATTTCCTCACGGCCGGTCAGTACACGAGAAAAGAGCTTGCTACTGCTTCGCACTTCTGCAGCGTCTTTCCTGTTTGCTGTACTCACCGACTTTGCCGAAAGCCTCTTGTAGCTCTGCCATCTCCTCCTCTGAAAAGTGTGCTGTCGACGCCATTTCTTATTTCTCTGAGCAGCAGGTCTGCAAGAAGAAAGCACTTGGTTTTATTTGGTGCCTTTTTGGGTTTGTAATCAGGATGAAAAAGAAGGGTTTTCACTTGGATTTTCAAAGTCTCGGAGCAGTTCCCCATAGCTGAAAACCCAGTTCCTCTCTGCATCCCGAAATCAAGTGAAGGGGTAAAAACCTGCGGTTTTTATGTCCCTCTTGTTTTTTTGCCAGGCCCTGCTCAAAATCCCAACAGTTTTACTTATACTAATTTAATTGGAATTAAATCCTACCTCTGCTAACTTTTGCTTCTCATGGAGAAAGCGGACAATTGTGCTGGTTCTTGTTATTCACCGTTTGGAAACACAATTCACCACGTGCTTCTTCAGCAGCGCTGGCAGAGAAGCGGCAGCCCTGCCTGCTCCCAGGGCTCGGGGTTGGAGCCGGAGTCCCGGGGGATATTTACACCGCCTACCTTTGGGTACCTAATGAGGAGGCTGGTCACTTTTACGGAGTGGATGGATGGAGAGAAGCTCCTTCACAAGCTGTTCAGAGCACCAGATCGGGCTCCCCAGAGGGCTACTTCTCTTCCTGGCTATGGGGAGAGTTTAGGGACTTGCCTCTCAAGGTACCTGATTTAGTGCCCGAGGTTGAGTGGCACTTTAGGAATGGGTGGCTGGAAGGAGTTTTCCTGCCTTTCCTCTCATCAAAGATACAAAGTAGGAGGAAGGATTAGACTTTCCCTTTCTAGGCACCTTTCTTAATAATCAGAAAGGGAAAGGTTACTTCCATTTGTCACATCATTTAATACACTGCCAGAAGATGCACATTATACCCCTCTGCTTTTTCATGCACCTACTGTCCCTTGCATCTATTCATGAGGAAACTGTTCAGGAGAAAGACTATCTATCTATTATTCTATATTTGTGAGAATGACTCTAGTGTCCTATGTCTCTTTAAGTATTAATTAACCAAGCAACTATTTAAATAGAATAGAATGGAAACCTGAGTTGATCCTGGAAAGTGGTTGCTGTAGCTACAGTGTTCAAATGAGGGGAAAAAAAAATCAGAAATACCTCATTCCCAGACTAAAATCAACATTGCATCCTGGAGGCTTGGATTCCAAACTTTACAGAAAGATATACCAGGATAATTTTAAAAATTACAGATTTGCTATAGCCCTCTGCAAAGACACAGAGTTGTGTACAACCTATCGGGGCTTCAGATTTAATGCTCTCCTGAACTCATGCATTGATTCCTTGTATCTGTGAGTACCACTATGGACATTGCTTTGAAATAGCCCAAAGGCAATATCTGATGTGGTTGGCTTTTTGTCTGCTGTCTCCCTGTAGTATCACGCACCCTTTATCTGCCTCATCACTGTGATTTTAGGGTGAGGACACCTTCCAGAGAAAAATCTGTTCATTCACTCCAACCTTCATAAGTAGAGAAATGTAGCATAATCCATAATGCAGCCGCTCTTGGGGCACAAGAACCCATGTGCAGTTTTCAGCACAATGGAGCTAGTGATTGCTACTGAAATACTAATATAATATTAAAAGTGGTTCTAACCACCATACTTTCCAGGATTACCTGTAAAAATCCCTGTGATTCACTAGGAACGTGGCTTATGTATACTAGGGTAAAATTAGATCCATAGTCTTCCTCCTTCGTTCTGTTATATTTCTTGCCTCTGATTCCTCACTACCAGTCTTTTTCTGTTGCATGCTCTGTGTTTTTGCAACATGTGGATTACCTAAAATGCACCTGGACACATGAAAATCTTACGCTATCAGGAAGAAAATCCGTATTCCACTGCAAGATCATCCCTTCCCAGTCCAGTCATTTCATCAAGCAATATAATCTGCAACACAACTTTTAATAGCATTAAGACTGTTCTAGAGCTGAACAGATAAGAAACACCACAGGTTGTTGCCTATGACATTACTTTTGCAAAGAGTTTTATAACCTCGAGAAAAAATTATCACTAACATAAACTGGACTTTTCTTAATTGCATAAGAAGCTGTGTCCTCTGATCAGTAACTAACTGATCTGTTAAATACGGAGAATCCTATTAATAGTACATACGTTTACATGTATACTAATAATACATAATAGGATGAAGGTTTTTGCTGTAATGAACCCTTCTGACATCTCTTTTAGGACAATATTACCCACTTGTTTGTAAAGGTGGCTATGCTTAGCTGAGAAATCAGATGAATCTCTGCACTGAGTGTGAGATCTGGTCATCCATCACCCAAGGAGTAGTTGTACTCGGGCGATGGAGTTATCGTCACTGCCCACTCCATTACACAACTGAGTCTCTTCTGCATTTTCAGTCCCTTGGTATCTCTTGGTTTCAGCCTGTCAGCTGCAGCCAGAAGCCCTCTGCGAAGTGTGTGAAAGCCCTCAAGTTTACATGCAAATGTTCAAACCCAGAATTTTCAGATTAAAGGTTTCAGAGTTATTCACAATTAAAAATCGCTGTCATTTCTGAAATTGTTCAAGTAGTAAAACAAAACATAGGGAAATCAAGAGAGTAAAAGTTCAACGCTTTAGCAATCAACAGCAAAAAGGTGCAAATCCACTTTTTAAAAGCTACTTTTCAGTATATAAACTGCCTATTTTGCTTAGATCATTAACAGCAAATGATGATATTTAGGCACACAGAAATGTAAAATGCTTCTGGATAATGGTGTGGGAGGCCAGACCCAGTATTATCCTTCTGATTTTATCAACCAAGAGCAGAGTCATTTGCTTCTAGGGGTCAAACACTTCCAGCACTTCACCATCCTCAATGCAAAGTGAAAATACCTCGGGCATCCCATCAAGAGGGCATCTAACAACCCTAGGTGAATAATTCAGTCACTGATAATCCACAAGGCATTGTAAGCATACGGTGCACCGCTCTGCTCCAAGCCATTTGTAAAATCAGTATGACAAGACAGATGCAGAGAAAAAAAATGCAGCAATATACATGTATAACAGCAAAGGAGAGTATGTGGCAATATGAACAAGTTGGAAGAGCTTCTTTGAAGGGAATAGCTGTTGAGGAGCTGAGGGAGGAGCAAAGGGAAAATCAGCTGATGAGAACCAGGCAATGGCTTTGAGCACAGAGATGTATGGCAAGAAGCAAAGAGGAAAGCTGGGCAGGAGCGGGGCATGGCAAGAGGGAGGGGAGTTTGAGAAGTAACTAATGCAAACGAAAGCTTAGCTATCAGCAGAAATGAGATTTTGAAGGTCAGCAGTAGCTGGGAGGAAGGATCATGAATCTGGTGTGATCGAAGATCAGCAAAAGAATTGTAGTTCCTTAGAGAGAACAAGATGAAAGTCAGCACATGCTCGGATGTGGAGGCAAGATGCTGAGGAGGGGAAGACAGCTCCACGGGTCAGAGCAAGAAAGACAGTGGAACTGCCAAGAAGAAAAAAATGGAAAGTAATAAGAATTCAGAAGGAAAATAAAACACTCCTTGGGACAGACTGAGCTTCAGATGGCATCAGGACATCCGGATTACACATTGCCTGGAAGTGACACTTTGTTCTTGTTTGCCAAACAGCATAAACCCGCTATTGCAAAAGCAAAAATAAAGTTGTGCAAATACACTCCTTCCTCCCCAGAAGACTGTTGAGTTACAGGTTAATGTAAAAAAGAGAAAATGGTCTCACCTAAGCAGCTGAGAATCGTAACAAACTGATACTCAAAGAGCCTCTACGAAGCATTCCCTTTCCTGCTGTCATTTCCAAACCAATACATTACATCTGTGCTGTAAAGCCTCCTTCTATTTGACCTTACCCTCAGAAGAACCTACTATCACACTGATGTTTTAAGAGATCTAATAACAAACTATTTTCAGTCTGGAATATAAAGGAAGAACTAAAATAATCTCAAACCTAAACCTTACTGCTAAATTGAAACACAACGATATTGATGTTCTTTCATCTCTTTCGATTTTGAAGCTGTAGTCTGAGAGGCTGCCTGGTTATGTATTACTTGGCAAAGTATGCACCCACCATGCAATATAAATAATAAATGGCAAAGCTATTAAAAACTAAAGGTTTCCATGACTTGTATTAAATAGTTACCTTGTTTCGTATTTTCCCCACTTCTCTGGTGTTTAAGCTTTACTGCAGGCAAGGCAATGAAAACTACACTTGAAGATGTGAATCTACAGTTTACAGCTAGACATAAAGTTACACCTTTCCCCAAAGCAAAAAAGCAAATTTATGAGGCAACATTACATTTCACAAACATGTGTTCAAGTCATCAGGAATGACTTAACTGTGAATTTGGTTGAATTCAAGAAAGTTGAATAAATTACTAATATTTACTCACTTTCTGCCACCAACATTTTTTGTTAACGCACTAGTACTTTATGAATAATACGATAACCCCTCTACAGTGTTGGAGAGTGATCAAATAAAGGATTGCACGTGTGTTCCCTGTCATATAAATTTCCCTATTTCTTCTGCCATCTTCTCGTCAAACTTGTTTATTTTTTCTGAAAGTGATGAAACAACAGACTTCCGCTGTTGCAAAATAGAGCTGTTAGAGTTGCATGGGGAAGCGTAAGACTGTGTCCCCCTCCTCACACAAAACTCTACCTTTGACTTTATCAGAGCTCACAGCTCCAGTTCCTTTTCTCTTTCTTGTCTCATCCACAAGTTCAATTTCCAAACATCGGGCTTTCTGTAAGGGTTGGGGAATACTTCCCCAGTTCTTTTCTGCATTAGCCTTTCTTTCCCAGCTGATTTCCAAGAGGCACCACCAGCAGTCCTCCCCCAACGCACAGCCCGCCCTGGACAGTGCCGCCAGCGGGCAGGAATAAGAGAAGTGGCCCCCGAATTGTGCAGAAACTCTTGTGATAGATCTGAAGCGTCTTGACAGAAAAATACAAGGGAAAAGGGAAGTTCTTGAGCATATCTGATCTTTGTCCCATACTTCTTGCACTTTTGGGGCCCTCCTGATTCCTGGTCACTCATCAGAATATCCCTGATAGGATATTCCTCCCCAGAAATACTTTCCTCTACCTTTCTCTCATAAGGTCCCACAT